ACGATCCGTTATGTTCTTTGGTTGCTAGCTTTTTTTGGAAATGGATGATATTCCTAACAACATTAATGGCGATGGTTAATGAGACAGGTGTTTCAGCAAATGTCACGAGAATCAAGCCTAACACCCGTTTAACGAGTCAACTGATTCATGTCATTACACTTAAAAAAAATCCCCCATTTCTGCTTGTTACAACCCTTAAAAGAAAGAAAAGAAATGGTAGAATTGACGATGCATAACCTCACTGTACTATGTGTAAATCGTAAGGCAATACTAGTGTAACAGACTTTTTGGCGACGCCCCAAATTTATCTTCTTTAATCATAAACTGACAGAATGGGAAAATTTGGCCTTTTTTCACTGTGAGTAACAGTTGTGCGTGGATGGAGGAAACGATTTCGCAATGCCAGTTTGCCCCTCCTTGGGACGCAAAAAAGTTACTGGAGCTGGCCTCTTGAGAGAATGGTCCTCTTAAGTGGCCAGTAGAGATGTAAGGGTTAAATGGCTGTTAACTGGGGCTTTCCCAACTACCAATGAACATTGGAAATGCCAAAAAAATGTTTGTTACTGTTTGACTATACTGTTGCTCTGACAATGCGTGCTGTAATTCAGTCACAAGCATAAAATTCACTGAGTGGTGTTTTGAAGTGTAACCCGATGTGTCGAGAAAAAGCTGATATAAATTCATTGCATGGTTATTGTTTGTTGAAACAAAAGAAATGCACTATGACAACTTGTGGGAATTGTGCTTGTTTTTAAGTTTGAAACAATATCAACAAAGCCCTATAAACCGAGGCTGTGAATAATATTCATTTGGCTTGGCGATTACGTGAACCGGTAGGATGTAAAACTTTTAAAATCTTTCTCTCATCGATTTGCTGTACAGTTTACGATCAGAGAGACTAAAATCGATTGGTTTGTGTTTACGTCCCGAAAGAAAAATAGTCAAACACAGTATAGTTTTTGTCATTTCCATCCCGTATAAAATGCTAACTTGATTGTTGTCGCCTGGACTGTTTACACCATTTGTTAATATCCTTATAGATGGCGCTGATACTGGAAACCAGCTGATTAGACTTCGGTTAAAACTAAAGTCTACCTCAGCGACCGCCAAGTTTCGTTGAAGAGTTGTCTTGCAGATCAATGCTGCGATCTTTGATTTTTTTTTTTTTTATCATCTATCGTTAGTAGCAATCCTATATCAGGAAAGAGGCTTTATTAGAATCAAAACTGTATCTTTTTATGTGCCTGAACATCTTAATTTGTTTAAGCGGCCTGCCAGCAAGAAACTTCCTCTGTATTCCTTAAAGTTATATTGTCCCCCATTTCATCTCATTCAATTGGAAATAACTGAATAATTAAGTTTCAAACAAACAAAAGGCACTATCCAATCAGTTTGATCTGATTTGATGACGTCAATCCCCCTTATTGGCTAACACCTCCCCTATTGTTCTTTCTCTATATATTTGAGATACCACCCGGATGGTTTGGGCGGATCCGTAAATCACTGCACAGTAAACCTATCAATACTTCTCACCTTTTAACACTTCATCCATATTCTCTTTTAAAAACCCCAACAGTGAACCCTCCAATTCCAATAAAGCCCGCTTCTACAAGCCTTGCGCGTCCTCGTTAACTCAGGGCTGGTGAATATAATTATACACAAGTAAAGCTATTCAACTGTTACATTGTACTGTCGGTGTTGATATTAGTCGTCTGTGAGAAGCTAAGCGAATGATCAAAAGAAGATGAAGCATTACTCCAGTCAAAGACAGAAAAGGAAAGTTCAACCGGACAAAATCGAACGTGCAAATCCGCAAATTAAAACAAATGGGGTCGGAACATAAAAATACCATGCTTTAAAAGAAAGAATACATATCAAAGCATTCAGTCGTCCAAGCAGAGTTTTCGAATCGAAGGGCAATATTTTTTAATTTAAGTTGGTCTAGTTTTAAGCCGTTTTTAGTCATGTTTTTTTAGATGATTAAATGGTAGGATTGTCCCGTGGACAGTTCATGGCTGAGTTTTGTCTCTCTAACTTAAATAACTGATTTGGGCTTTACTTTCATTTCCGTACGTTTCAGCGAATAATACCATCCTCTGAAAGCTAACCACGTAACGCCATTTGAGTCCGAGGAAAAATTTCCCTTTAGGTATAAACCGTTCAGGTTGGAATAGTGACACCAGTTGTACCACCAAGCACCGTCATGCGTATTAGCACAGCTGCCATTTGGATTGAGATCGTTGTCGCTGTCAATGGTGGAAAACTGCATTTGGCTGAAAAAGATAATAGTTAGGACTTAGATTTTAGCGATGCGGTTTGAATTTATCTTTTTTTTTTTTTTTTTTCACCATGATTACAATGCTAAAATAAGACTAGGAAAAAAAATACATTTGAACAAGTCACAAAAACGAGAGATGAAGGTGCGGGAAACACAACTGAAAGAAGTTCTAAATTAATTGTGCCCTTAAGAAAAATACACAAATACTAACTATGTAAACATATAAACATTATAAGAAGTATAAAAATCCTATTTCCAAAAACGATAAGAACGAATCACTTCCGCAGCCGATAGAAAGTCTCAGTAGCAGCAGTTGCCAGCTAGTAGATGCTTGGGTCTAAATTCAAGAGCACCTTATAGACCTCATCTTCGCACAGCACCAAGCTGTCAAGGACGGGCATCCCCTCGTCGGGTGGCGTAAAAGCATCAAGGGGGAAAAAAGCATCAGGCGTATGCGTAAACGTAGAATAGAAATACTCTGCCATCTCTCCACTCCAGAGGAGATCTGTCGCCCCCCGTACGTAACATTAGCTGGTATAGAGTTTGATTTGGTTTTATGGCGGAAGTAACTCCAAAAGCGCTTTAGATTGACTTTCAAGCTGTCACCAAGAGAAGCGTGATATTCCTCAAACAGCCTGTTTATCAATGCCTTAGATTCTTTTCTTAAGATCCTGAACTTTTCAAGGTAAAAAGCGCTGTTGTTCTTTTTGGCGGCACGTCTCACGGATTCTTTCCTCTTCAGCAAATGTCGAACTTCCTTGTCAATCCACGGTGGCGTATTTGAGTCCCTGACTCTAGCCTGGGGATATTAGCGTCAATATAAACTGATCCAAAAGGGCGGATTTCCAATAAGACCAGTAGGCGCCAACACCCGAGTTACATGGCGCGCTATTACTGATAGCTGAGTTCTGCATAATCTGCAGTTTGTGGCCAGTTCTCAAAGTCAGCTGATTTGAAATTGTAAGAGTAGCGCGCAGGTTTCCTCACCCGACGAAGCCTGGCTACAAAGTCAAATTCAAGTTAGTCGTGGTCGGTTTCAAGGCCTGCCTGTATAGGAGTCAAGGTCGCGATGTTCATTATGCGGTCAGGTGCACTTTATTCAGTAATTATTTAGTACAGAATATTCTCCTTGCGGGTCGGAAAAGGGCTCACTTGCAGTAGAGAATGGTCTTGTAGAGTTTCAAAAAAGCAAAATCAGGAGAGTTCGTAGAGCCGCAGCCTTCAATCCATTTGATGGCAGGATAGTTGAAATCCCCAAGGATTAAGCAATGGCTCTTGAGGAGACGCGCAGAGTTATTGAGGTGAGATATAAACTCCGTGACGGAGTGAAAATCATGGCTTGGTGTAGAGTCAGATGATCTGCACTGATTACTATTTTAGAAGAACACGCGAGGTTTAATAAAACCATAAAGCGCGAAGTATTCCCTTTCTTAAAGAGCTATTAAGAGCTTTAGACCCCCCCACAAACTGTACATGTACAGGTCTTATTTTTTGCATCCCTATGTTGTTTTGCTTTTTTGCCGAAGCAGCATACACAGTCATCCTGAGGCATTTGCAACTTGAGGAGTTTGCTCTTCGTATGAATTATTTACTATACTAGTAAGACGTAAGTCAAGTTTGCATGTAAGTCCTAATCAAATGATTATTTTTTTAAAAAAATAAAACGTTTTCATGCCTGCACCAAGGCTTAAAAACACACGTAACTTCAAATTGCCTTACTTGTGATAAGCCATCGAGTCCCCGGCGGTTCCATTATATCCTCCAATCAAAAGACGGTATTTATCTGTCTCGTTTGCCACCTTAAAAATTGTGTACTCGGCGTAAGTGATGGTTCCATCAAAATCCTCCAGGTCGACCTTTAGAATAACATCATCAGCGGCTGTCAAACGGTGAAGATTGTCATTTCCAAGCCAATACTCGCCATTCAAATCTCCAAAACCGTTCTTGTAGGAAGTCCAGTTGACGTAAAAATCTACAGAACCGTTAAAACGTTTCTGGAAAATGGTCCAGCCTCCACCGTTAGTGGCCATGTCACAAAACACTGGGATGGGTGTGCCGCCGTCTGGATTAATGGTATACACACCACTGGATGTGACACCATCGTTAAGGAGCTGGGCGCAGTACTTAGGCTCTGTTAGTTATTTAAAACATGAGTGTCAGCAAACTTCAAAAAAGATCATGCTAGCCCACACTGAGGTAGCCTGATTAAGAATTCAATTGTCTCATTGTGTTCCCTCGAACTTTTCAGGGACAATATACAACACTGTGTGTGGTAATTTACCTGAGCAGGACTGCTGCACTTGTGTCTAGTACTTAGGGCAGTTTGCAACTTAGTATTGAATGAAATGGGCACTTCACCTAGGGGTTAGCAAGTCACTACCAGAGATTTGTTACGTCCTTAGCGTCCCTAGTCCCACAGAGTCGGAGTGGGTGACAATAGTGAAAGTGAGTGGCATGGAAAGAAGACCGCAAACCTTGTGTGAAAGAACTTAATTAAGCGCAACAATAATATGTTTAACAAATCGTTTGGTCAACGTCACCTCCCTTTAACAGATTTTTTGGAAATATAGACCTGATAACATTAATGTTATTATGTGAAGTATATGAAATAATTCATTTTTGAACTGCGATTGTAGATGAAAGTGAAGAATGATCATCGCAGTTAATTTTCCAAACAACGGCAACGCGGAGGTCACGGGTTCGAATCCCGTTGAAGCCCTGATTTTTTTCATTGCTTTAAAAATTGGAAAATTTACTGCGATGATCATTCTTCACTTTCATTAATGTTATTATAAATAAAAATCACGTCAAGACACTCATGTAACAGCCCTGTCACGTTTTACACACACAAACGTCTTACCGTCTACCGTCCTGTTGCGAACAACACCCTTAAAACTGAAGGTGAGACGGGATCTACGTTTTTCGTCATTACGCTGTTACTAGTAACGGACAGTTTATCACATAGCCATATTTTTATGTAACTTACTGCAAGGTGTTCCTGTATATCCAGCCTTACAAACACATCGTACACTGTTATCTTGGTAGTTTGGAGTACACACTTCATTGTCACCACAGATGGAGCTATCCACTTCACAGGTGCTCTGTAAGAAAAACAACAACAAAAACTAGAAATAAATAACTGAAATAAATAAATAAATAAATAACGAGTTGGAGGCAGCACAGCCATTCCTGGTTGAATTGGAATTTGGAAATGTTGATTTTTGAGGAGTGAGGAGAACCGGAGTGCATGAGGAAATTAAACCTCTTGGAGCAAAGCAAAGAACCAACAACAAATTCATTTCACATATGGCGTCCACGCTAGGATTTGAATCCGATTGTTTGCAATCGAATGACGTGTACCTCGACATAATATACCTTAGCAAATTTGGCTCAAACTCCTGCTATATACATTTTGATGCGTTACAATGCATCTTCAAAGGCTTTAACTGCGGTACGTTGCTTCCAATTCAAGAAAAAGGCAATGGAATTGCAAGCTACCTTGTATCAGAGCTCTGGTAGGGGGACGAACGATCACTGATCAGTATCCATGCCTGCGAACGTATCAATTTGTATATTGCAGAGCAAAATATAATAATCAAGAAAAATAATGCCCAGCCATATTAAAGGAGGACGTCAAGAAAATTCCCAGAGTCGTAAATTTATACACGTGTAGTATTTTTTTTTTGCGAAAATTTTATTTTGCATTGTGATATAACTCGGTTTTCGGTAGTATATAAAAGGTACGGTGTTGGACGTCGGGGAAGAACCTCTCCATACAAAGCGTTTTTTAGTACTCTCCCCCCCCCCCCC